AATTTGCTTCTCAGTGTGCATTGGCATTTCATAAAGATCCATCTGAAAGATACTGGACTTCTTTTATCCTAGAACATCTGTGCTATTTGCAGTGCGTGCAACACAAAGGCACCTTCAAACAAAACAACACAGAGCTAAAATCGTGTTGTTCTGCTTGAGCATGCCTATAATTTCAGAGGTTTGTTATGCTCAGAGTTGAAACAAACAGAAAAARAATTCACTCTTTGAAGGTTTTCTCTGAAAATACTTCTACTTCTTTGAGTCTGTTTAATTAGTTTTCTAGAAAGATGTTAGAATTAACTTTTTCAAATAATTTTATTGTTCAGTTCACAGAAGAAAAACCAAAGTGTAGGATTTATTTAATTTACAAAGTTAAACAAATTTTGATAAGAGTAGTCAGGAGAAGGATTAGCAAATAGCATGCAAGAACACAAACAGAAGCATCTGGGCAACTGCAACTTGGCAAGTCACCACACAAGACAGATCTCCTGTGGTGATCCATACCCTGGATATTTTAGGCAACCGAGTCTCATCTCCCTTAGAAAATTCCAGTTGAAAACTAGCTCAGTTGTTTGCTTTGTAACACACATCTTGAAGTAGTTCCAAAACGTCACTGTTCTGGGGTTTTGAGCCAAATTTGTCTCCAACTTAATTATTGCTTTTCCTTATACATCAGGTTTTAACCTTCTGATTAAAGGCCCAGCCATATTTCAGGCTTTTAAAAGCAAAGACAGATCCTTCTTGTAAAACAGACCCTCCATTCCCTTGTCCCCATAAACTGTACCTAAAGATCTTACAGGGGGTTTTGTCTTTTTAACTTGGACAGTTAGAATCGTACATGATTCTCATAATCACTTGTCTTTCCCCATAGCATTAACAACACTCCCATCATTACCAGAAAGATCTGACCCAAGCATCCTTGCATCACACTGATCCTTTTCACAAACATTATACGTTTTTAGGCCACATTGATTCTGTAACAGACAAATTTGACTAATGTGTTAAGGTGACACAGACACTAATGCTCATTAATTAAATCAGTCTGGAAATCTTCTAGACAGACTGATTCCAAAAGAGCTTTCCAGATGGAAGACAGCATGAGGGAAGAACCCAATTACTATTTGTACTTTGAAATGAGGAACATGTGGTCACCTGTGAAGTGGTATGARAGAAGGCAAACCACTGATCTGAAGTTTCTATTCTCATTCAGGGCTGAAAGCAGCCCAAGGAAGACAGGAGAGCAAGAAAAACTGCTGTCAAAGCCTCCTCTCCTGTAAAGTGATGGAAACCACATGGTTCAAAGGGGCAATTTCAGAGGTCAAGAGATGACAGAGACAGGTAGGCTTGAAACCTGGTTCCTTCTTTCCATTAAAATTTCCCCTCCTGTGTGAAATAAAGAATTCTATGCTTTTATGAAGTTCTCTCTCCCATTTTATGGCAATGAACTTCCAGCACCTTTAGTACCTGAACCCATGCTGTGTTCTGAGCTGGCACCTCTGCTGATGTTCCAGTGCCTGTCAAGAATATGCAAAATCTCAGCTCCCTGCTTCAGGATGAGATCAATGACAGCTCAACGACAACATAATCCTCATACAAAGAAAGCATCACATAAAAGTATTTGAAAATATACCACTGRGGAAAAAAAGCATTCTAGGGAGAAAAATTGTAAGGTTTTCTTTTTATTTGCATATTTGTCAACACTACATTTTAAAATTAGATTTAAAAAAAAATCTGTACTTGCCTTCTATCTTTAAGGGCTTGTATTTTAATTTTCTGGTCGTAATTGCTACTTAAGTATTTGTTTGACATTGGATTTTGAGAGCTTCTTTTGACAAATCCCTTAAAAGTTTCTCTGTTGCCTTTCATGCTAAAAATGCTTGTTTATTTATGCAACATATATTGTTTTTAGTACTTCACAAGGGCTTCTAGCTCAGCGTGAATAAAAATTTTATACATTACTTCAGAGCTCTGTTGCATGATAGCTCAGTATAACAGAGGACAATATATTTAATGTTTGCAGTGTCTCASTATGACATGCTATGCTATTACTGACAAATTGGTCTTCTGCTTAGCATTCCACTGAATGACAAAATATGAGTGTTTACAGTGGCTTTTGTTCTTTTCTATTTGTTCTACAAACATTTAATTTTTAACTGGGCATATGGCAGCAATACATGTCTGTTCCCTTGAACTATGTTCAAAGATGAGGTCAAACAAATGGTTATTCTGAATTCYGCATATTATGTTTAACCATTCCTCAGAAAAGATCAAAGGCAGTTTTGTCAAACACGATGTGGGAATTTTCTCATTTAAGCACTTCAATACATTTAGTCTTCCAATCCAAACAGAGAAAACTACCTTTCCAAACAAGGATACAAACTGAACTTAATATTTCAATGCTTAGAAAAATTCGTTAGCACTATACATACATTAAAATAAAGAATTACTTAAAATAGTAAAAAAAAACTCCATGGTACTTACCATGAATATAATTTTATGAGTACATATCTGAACCACATTAATAAAATGTATGAATGAGGCAGCTCCTGATGCGTTTAGTACTCTTGTGATGTTTTTCACATACATGTGCTGTTTAMTACCCTAGAAATATATCTAGAAATATTTTGCTCAGGGAAGACTTTATTATTGATATGAATATTCACTGCAAAGAAAGAACCAAATGAGTACCAAATTTCTCCTATCTACTGCCAAGTAGGTAATCACACTAATTAATTGAAAGTCTGTTGTTTCCTAACTGAACCAATTATGTAGAAAAGGCTGCCTGAGGTTGAGCTAAGCACCCTCCCATTAGCAAAGCCACAGTGCAAATGACAGGAGAAAAGAGTACAGTGAAAAGCAAAACACTTTTTGCTTTTTATATTTATGCTATTTATAACTGTACATTAAAAAGGGACTGTGAAAAGGAAAAAAATCCAAAGCCACCCACGGCACACACAGCCAGGGTGAAAACCCTTCTTCTAATCTAAGTCCAATTTCCCATTTAAAAAAGCTTGTGCTTTATCCTGMCAGCTCCCTCTGATAAAGGAAGGGGTCATTAGGCACCTATTCCTTTATCAGAGTAACCCCTATGAAACACCTCATCAAAATTGTTGCTTATGTTTTGCATACCAGCACAATAAAAAACAAATGAGCTCAGAGGTAACCTTTTTGATTGCTAAAATCAAAATAAACACATTAATGAGCAAAATATTACAGCTAAACCATCCAAATTCACAAGTTCACCTGTTTGGTAGGAGAAGCTGTCCAGCAAGTTTTGAAGATAATACCATGACACATGTGGAATGAAAGAACCATTWAAAAAATTCTAAATCATACTCCACTTCATTCAGTTTACAAACTATTTCCAAACATCCTATTACACAATTATTTATTAATTTCCACATGCATGTTTCTAATTTTTCATTAAAACAGTGGTTAAACTGTTATTTCCTGTCTTTATCTTAGTAAATTCCCTATATCAAAAACATATCGTCTATACACAATCCAGTTGCCCTACAAATATCAGGTAAGATTCCATTCCCAGAAGAACAAGGTGTGACACTGCTCTTTCTGAGGGAAAGGAAAATACACTGTGTATATCAAAATTCCTCCAATACATTTTTTATGCCAAGCAAAACGTTTTCTGATAAACCACACATCTTAGAAACTTTGTTCTTCTCTATTTTGCACTACCCATTCTTTCTATGAGTTTTCTGTATACTCCTAAAAATACTTTATGTAGCCAAAAAAAATCACYCACTATATTACTATTATTACATGAATACATTACATTACTAGAATACAAACTTTCATAATGTACTTTATGTCATACAGAGAGCATTGATTCATTTTGACAGGATTAATAAACTCATCATTTGCTTTTMTTGTCCCCAATTAAGACAGGGTAATTGATATTCCCAGAGTGAATCAATGCAGTACTGTGCATGGCTTTCTTAAGAAAGTATTGCTTTGCTTTGTGTCAATGGAATATAGCCATCAATCCATATTATAATACCTATGTTAAAGTTTATTTAAACTTTTGCTATCACCAAAGCTACAAAAACCATCACACTTATTTTATACACCCACAACAATGAGAAAAAAAATATTTCTGTTACTGTGATGACTTTGGAATCAGAGAACTCAGAAGAATTGTAGTGAAATAAATGGTACCAATTTCATCTTTCATCATAGTATCTATTGCATAAAATAGATGATAATAACATTAGAGGTCAGTTAACCGAAAGAGGTTTGTGCAAGTAGAGTAAAATTAATCCGTTATTATATTTTTAAAACAAGATTTAACTTAATTTATAAGCTGTCTAAATAAAATTGATTTCTGCAGGAAAAAAAATGAATCTAAATTGCTACTTGAATGGCAATTAGGTATAGAAAATATTAATGCATCTGTTGTGCATGTGTACATAATCTTGAAAGAAAAGGGTCCTTATAAAAAATTTCTTTGATTGCAGACTCAGAACCTGCAGTTTGGAAATATCAAATGCTTATAACTGTTGTGTATTTACAATTCATCTGTTCCTTCTTTGCATGCTGATGCAACATAACTCTAAGCTTTAAAAAAAAAAAAAAAAAAAAAAAAAAAAAAAAAAAAAAAAAACAAACCAACCTAGCTCTATTTACAGATTACTATTTCCAAAAATCTGCCAACTGTGGTTTGAATTCAAGTCATACACACACAAAAGTGAAGGTTCAAACCACTATACTTCAGTTTTGGATCTTAACTACAATGCCAAATTTGGCCAGTCCAAGAAGAGATTCAGATTTTAGCTGAAAGAGATTTGCTATAGCCCGTGGAGTGTGCATATAATTAAAGCACTTCAATTCCACTTAAGGTTAGGTAGGARGAATCCCGTTCTTTCTCCTGATGTTCCCTATAGTAGTTTATTTCTATATAATCTTCATAAAAATTGCGCCCAAAATTGCTATCACATTTTTTCCCTATTCTTCCACTACACCAATCATTCCACAGAAATTTACCCAAACCGAGGACCTGGCTAAGCCACATCCCTCGCTGTGTTCTTTGGCTGTGGAGGAACAGACACCTCCCTGCTGTGAGTAATTGGCGAGCTTGGTTTAGATGGATGTTTTAGGAAGAGCTGCTCTTTGAGGAGTAGCTCTCGCTGCCTGCAAAGGCTCCAAGACCAGACCTCAGCACCAAACCTGAAATGCCCAAGCAACATGAATCCTGCCCCTAATTTCTCATCTCAAAGAGAACAACCAGAAAAACTGAAGCCACATTCATAGCCCGGTCTAAATGCCGTTACAACTTACTATGCCAGAAGTTTTTGTTCACACTATTTAAACTGCGCCCAGCACGATACCAGCCGTGCCAGAGACGTTTTCCCGGGAACACCCCAGGCCCAGCGGCGATGGCCCCGGGCCACCCGCACCGCCCGCCCGCGGCTCCGCTGCCAGCAGAGGACAGCTCCCGGGACAGCTCCCGTGCTACCCCGCGGGATGCAGCTGCGGGAGCCAGGCCCGACTGGGCAAACCGCGT